GAAATATTATTCTCTGATAAAAAGCGCGACGACGCGCATGTATAATTATAATACAAGCGCACAGAAGCACGCTCTACACGCCGGCCGGTCCCCGGTAATTGCGTTCTTTTGCATCTGCTCGAAAGCGAGTGTGTACGACCTTGAATTAAATTATGCTGCACGCGACTTTTATTACATTCCCATTCAAATGACATCCGCTAATAGGGACGTTAAACCTCATCGTAGGTCAGGTGACCACGCGTCTTGCCCTGTCTAGCGAGTTTTCGTGGAAAACGTGTCATTGGTTATTTCCCTTGACTCGTTGTATCGAATCTGTATCATAAATATACCTTGCTTAAAAATATTAGAAAATCGTTGCTATGAAGGATTTCAACGAAGAAAACCAAAGGAAAGAATTCCTCTTAGGTTTGATAGATTTATATTTTTCGCATAATGCTGTAACTTTAACGCGATCATTAAAGAAATATGTACGGATATAATGATTAAAGTTACTGTCATGTACGATCCTCTAATTGTTTCGAAATATGTATATGTATGTAGACTGGAACTCCATATAATTTGTAAGGTTAATAAAGTGTAATAAAATAAAATCAAAATAATTTGTAAAATAATAAAGCGAAATTTTAGATTAAACAAACTCTTTCTGATTAAATCCACTTATATGAACGTGAATCTCTGTTATGTTAACGAAAAATTATAGGTGGCAGAAGTTGCCAATATGAATCCCAATACATAGATATATACATATATAAAGTACCTGTCTGCTAACAACAGATTCATATAAACGGAGTTCTATCGTATTCATACGTGGACCAATCTCTTTTACTATTTGGAATGAAAAGATTTCGTCAATACAATCTGCTAACAACTGATCGATAGATTCTCTCTCAATTTGTTATGGTTCCCTTCGATCGGATCTGTCAGGCAAGGAATCTCGTTGATGCCAGGAGACAGGATAAGATAGAATTTCGCTTCTGGGAGGGTCGAGAGGGTCTCCCAGGCCATCGGAAGTGGAAAATGTCTTTGTTTATTGCACACTAGCACAGGCTGTGGGGCCAATACTCGAGGATACACAGGGCGATATCGAATATCCAGCGAACGACGTGCACACGAACGGCCCGACGAGGGTTCACCTAACCTCGTGCTCGATGCTTTTCTCTTTTCCTCTACTAATGGCCTTCCTTCTCTTTACACCAGCGCCTCCTCCTCTTCCTTTGTCAGACCCTTGTCCCGTCTCCTTTCTTTTCCTCTCTTTATCATGGGACGGTATAGTAGCAGCCGGTCGAGCGCGTCGTAGCGCAACCATATACCAGGTCTCTGGTCTACGTAGTCGGGCTTGGCGAAATTCCACCACGGTAGAGCGTTACGCGTCGTATGCAACGATTATTCGTCTGTAAACGAGCGATTTCCTTGCAAAACGCCTCTACGTGGGATGGTTTTGCAAATATGTATATCATGGTAGGAGGACTTAACAGTGTAACTGATCGGCGTTTCTGTTCTTACCAAGTAGTACTTGTTCCTTTCGTTCGTTGCTACGTACTACGTTATTCAAGTCTCTCTATATACTTACGTGGCGTAGTTTGATTTCCTTTTTCGTCGCCTGCGCATGTACAGAAAGACGATGGCCACCGGTCGACGGTGTGCATTTCTGTACCGTTAATGAGAAACATCGCGTAGAATATCGTGATTCCACGATATATTATCGAGTTTCGACGCGTTATTCCATGCGTAAAAGCGGCCGCGAGACCGCCGGCCCTTTATGAAAAGAGTACAAACAAGTGTTATTCGAGCATCGAACAACTTTTCGGTCTCCCTTTTTTTTTCTTTTCCTTTTTCTTCTGCCTCTTTACTTTTTTTCTTCTTTTCCCGTTGCTGTTCTCTCTAACCGTACGTACAACGGTGTACATCCTTTCCCCGATGCAGCACGCACGAGTATCCGATTATTCGAAGACCGCACACGTCCCGAGAGGAAGTGGTTCGCAACCGACCCACCTACACTCTTTCTCTCTCTCGGGTACTCTCTCTTGTTTAATGCGTGTGTTACACGTACATGGGACGGCAAGGCGTAAGCATATGCACGAACACAGACGGCCCGAGAGTCTCTCTCGCTCCATTTGGCCAATCCGCGTCCCGTACACTCGGCTCGCAACAATGCACCCGACGTGGCACTTCCGTCCGGACGAGGAAAGCGTCGTCGCTGCGCTGTCAGTCGAATCGCTCCCTCCGATCGACACTGTGGAATTCGATCCTGGGAACCTTGAGACACGAAAAACTTTTCTTCGCCTACCTTCGGTTTGGTACCTGTGGAGCTTCGTATCTTTGGAACGCTGCACGTAGTCCATTAGTCTTCGAATTGTAAATATTTATAATGTACCGTTTTGATTGACTTCATAAAATCCTGAAAGGGAAACACGAAATGGAAAATTGTACCGTTTTATCATACGAAGGATCGGCAGAAAAATGGTATAAATGTATTTCTTGTAAAAAGGAAATAAATATAAAGAACGATGCACGATATGTATTATTCGTAGGATTTTGTTAGAAATTTCAATATTTCAGTATGAAATAGACAAATTTCGATATTTTTGGAGCTACTTCGTACTAAGATAGTTTGAGACTTTGAAAGAAACGATTTCCCGTAATAGAATTTTGAAGATTTGTCGCTTGTATCATTTCTTCTATGAACTCTTCATATACTCGCACAATAATATCTCCAATTTGAAGACAGTGCTATTTGCAGGATACAATAGAT